CCAGTATACATTTTTCAGGTTTATTATTCATCTCTCTGCTGCAAATAAATTAAGCTTTCAAAGTATACACAAACCCAATAAATATACCAGTGTATTTCTAAACATACACAGATAACCCTCTACTCAAATTTGCATTCATTTAAGTTGTTAACGTAATTATATGTCAGTTGGAGAAGAAGGAATTTAGAAGTGTCATATGTTTTTCTCTAGTCAAGTAAATGTAGTCTCACTTTGGACTGAACAGAGGAGGTACAGATGGTAAAGCAGCGGCAGCACACAAAATTCTGCAGTGTTGCCAACAATTTTAACCCTACAGAGTCATTGATTTTGAAGATCTCCTGCCATTATTATTGGATTATGATTCCTCCATGTGGAACATGACATTGTCAGCACAGAACCAAATAAGTTAGTATAGATAAGGGGCCTATTGCCAGTGATTATCTTCTACAAAAGATGAAAACAAAAAGAGAAAAAATGCAAACAGAACAGAGGGGGTTGCATACATGATAGCAAGAATTTAATTTCTCCCCCACGGTCAGATTTAAATAATATTCTCCATTAATATTCATATTTAAATACATTTTTAATTTAAAAATACCTTACTATTTTAGGGTGTTTGCAAACAAAAATGACCTGGTGCAGCTTTATTTTCAGTCAATACCTACGTAATGAATACAGTGATTTTAAACTTAAGCGGTGTTTCAGCACCAGTGTGCTGTAATCTACTGAGTTATTGGGAATAAAGAGTATTTATTTTAAAAAAACCCTAGAAAGTGGAGTTTTGGCAGAATTACTTTAGATAAAAGTGATTTTTAAAATATTACCATAAATTACTTAGGAGCCCACTTTAAATAATGACTTAGAACCTGATTTTAGGCCAGATTTTTCAAGACATTGCTCTGCTCATTGCAACAATGCCAAACAGTGATTTAGGAATCAAAGTTTCATTGAAAGTCAACGGGACATAGGAAACTAATTCACTTTTGAATATGAAATGAAAAGAAAACAGACAGGTGTTGTACCACTGTTGTATGTTGCCTGAATGCTTTTAAAAATCTGGACCTTTATGTCCCAGAGATGCTTTTAAACATATAATTGACAATTCTTTGAAAAATCTCTAAGTTGTACAGTGAAATCACAATTTCCAGTCATCCTCTGCTTCTCCACTTCCTACCTTTTTATTTATTTTTAAAGTAAGTAGCAGCTCTCAGCATACTAAGAACTAAAGCTACTCTGGACATAGGATAGTTGTACTATAACTTGTTCCATGTGGAAATAGAATTGATAACGTCCGTTTATGCTCTGTAGCTGAAGTATAAATAGAATAATTCATATAATTGTTGTCTCTCTGAACTTCTGTTACTGTCTGATGGATACTTCTATGCAAAGTAGTTGTTGAAGAAGCAGGGGAAACTAAGAAAATGAATGAGTGAGGCAAGAAGAACTGTTCTTTGTGCTTTCACAAGGAACTTAATTTTGTCTCCACCTTAAAAAGGAACATATTATTACATGACACTTCAGTATCCCTCCCAGTACAATGAAAAACCTTAATTATATCTGCAACAACATTAGCTATTATCCAGTTTGACATTTTTGCACAAGTTAATTGTTCTCATATGTTTTTGTAAGAGAACGATGAGATTATAATTAAGATTTTCTCTTACGTTGTGAAGGAGAACAATGAGTTGTGTATATTCTCATCAACTCAGGGCAGAAGAGCACCTTTCCTGTGACACACTGGAATTTTTTTTATCAGTGGGGATATGCTGAGTTTTAAGGAACAGTTCAAAGATGTCCCATTATTTGCAATGGCATGCCCTTTACTTTTCAGGGATTGTATGCTGGGGATAAGACTCACTTAACCAGCTTGAATCCCATTAAACTACTTTTTGTTTGTTTATGTAATTTCCTAATATGATAAATATAGGTTGGTTTGGAGTAGGTAGGGATGTTCCCCTAACTTTCCCTCCAGTGGGACAGAAAAGATCGCCAAAAGGGTAGAGAGGGGCAGGGTGAGCTAATTATGTGTGTGTGTAGAGGGAGAGAGAAATTAGTTTTATTTCTACCCTCTCCAACTACAGCTCAATGGTTTCTGCATTCCTGTGGTGAGATCAGCTTGTGTATGGCCACATCTTCTCCACTGGGCCCACCACAATTCCTCAGGGTGGAGGAGCCTCCATCAAAGCTATAGCATATAAAGCAGAGGCCAGAAAGCAAACTAACACTGGATCTCAAAAGTTCTTTCATTTGGGAACCTCCAGATGCTGCTCTTTGACTGAGATGAGGTTCACAGCACAGACAGCATCCCTCTTTCCAAGAGCCCTCAATTCCACTTGAAGCAAGAACCAAGAGGTAACCATCATGGTCTAGACAGTATTTGGTCCTGCCATGGGGGCAGGGGACTGGACTCGATGACCTCTTGAGGTCCCTTCCAGTCCTAGTAGTCTATGATTCTATGATCTTGCTGAGGGGCAAACTTACCTCAACATAACAAGTATAGTTCTCAATTAGACGTCATATTAATTGATTTAGACTCTCAGTTGGTGGAGAGAGAGAAGGAGATCCCTATCAAAAATTAAAATCTCAGCTCTTCAAAACACCATTGTTTACATAGGCACCGAAACAAGGAGTGTGGGGGGCCTGCAGCACCTTCTGATGTGAAGTGGTTTCCATTACAAACAGGATTTACAGTTTGGTTTAGTGGCATTCAGCATTCCCATTATAAAAATTGTTCCAGTACCCCTGCAGTATGGTGAAGTGATGAAGTGTTGTCTGCATTTCACCATCCTTAATACCTTATCCCCCTTGCTTAGAAAGCTGTCAAAAACCAATAGCCCTATTTTACAAAGGAGGTAATCAAAATATGCATAAGTCACTACTAACAGAGCTGTGAACAGAGCCTATATATTTAATATGGCAACCCCAACCTCTCAAATCAGCCACACCGCCTCTCAGAAAGAACCTGCCAAATCTATGTCCTTGGGTACATGCTAAGTTATAACCGCTGGATTACACTCTGCCAAAGATGGGAATAAAATGTTGTATTCCTCACTCTCTCCACTCTAGTGCTGTGTTACCTGCTTGCAAAGTGAGTGTTTCTTTCCCCTCTAGAAGCTGCTCCATAGAAAAGCAGAAACTATTTCTGATGCTTAAGTGAAAGAGGTATGAGATATAAAGGGGCTGGATTTAAATACTGCTAATTACCGATATAATTTTCCAATATAATTTTCTTTTCTTTTGAAAAGAAACTGGTGTATTTGATTGATAGTATGAAAATATTGTTAAAAAAGGATTTATAGTAGAAAACCATTTAAGCTGATAATAACAACACAACATGCAACAAGTACAGGGAGTTCCAATTTCCATGAACATTCCAAATATTTTCATGTCCTACACTGGCAGACTTGAAGGTTGCTAAATATAGCCGCAGAATGCTCTAGTGAAATGGGTATCAGATTCTAGAATGCAGCCTGTGCTTTCAACTCAGACAGTAAAGTAGTGGTCACCTTTACTGAGTGTATTAGTAGTATCCATCGTTTGTGTAGTGTCGGATCTGTTGTAAATGATGGGAAATAGTGGCCATTTGAGAAAAAATGGGAATAGAATGGTAAATGCAGGAAAAAAAATGTTGCATCAACTTTGCTTCACCTACAACCTAATTTCTTGAATTGTGGACTTGAAGGTAGCTGATATTGAAGTTTAACTATACTGAGTATGTCAGTGATAACATACCAGGCATTTGTTAGTAAAAGAGTTCAGAAAAATTTAAGATAATTTGAACTCAAACCAAATAAGAGACAACTGAAAATCCATAGAAAATCCAGTTTTTACTTGTATATTTGGAGAAGGTACCTTTTATTCTTCAGACAAAACTAAGAGGTTTAATCTCTACATTAGATTAAAAAAAACCTTACTCTAACTTTAGTACAGAAGCACTACTATGCTGTTAAACGCATATCAACATCATATTTCGATACTCTCCAGCCTTGTAGTCTAATTTTGTTTCCTTTGTGAACCCAAAAAGCTAGTTGACTTCAAGGCTAGTCTGACAATATGGAGGGGCATCACTAACTCCTTAGGAAAAAAAGTTAATGTTGAGGTCCTTTCCCTTCTCCTTTCTGAAATGCACAGGTGAGGATGCATAAAGGAAAATGCTTGTGGGGAGTCAGAGTTTCTCACCTAAATTCACAGATTTTATGGACCAAAGGAACCATTATGATGATCACCTATTCTGACCTGTCACATAACATCAGCTATATGACCTTTATTAATTCCTGCATCACATCCAATATCTGTGCCTGAACTAAAGCTTAACTTTTAAAAGAAAAACATTCAAACTTGATTTTATTAATTCCAGTAATAGTGAATCTACAACCCTTGGTAAGTTTTTCCAATAGATAATTACCCTTACTGTTAAAAATGTGTGACTTATTTCTAGTCTGAATTTTTTTGACTTCAACTTTAGGCATTTAATCCTGTTAGACCTTTGGTAGACAGAAGAACCCTCTATTACCAAATTTCTGTTCCCCATATTTCTAGATACTCATCAAGTCATTCTTTAACCTTCTCTTTGTTCAGTGGAATAGACTGAGTTCTGGGTCACTTACTATTGACAGTGCTTTCTAAATTCTGAAGAATATGTTGAATGTCACTATATAATTTTTTTTTTTTTTTTTTTTGCTTAAGATAACTCATTCAGGGTTTATAACCATGAACACTTGCTCCTAGGAGTACTGAAAAATCTTTGCTGATTGTGCTATGATATTACTGCTATGTCATACAGCAGTTTACAGGGGGACTTTGAAGTCCAATGAATACAGACCTAAGCTCTTAGAGGGAGGAGGCCAGCAAAGACCTACGCTTTAAAGCATTCTATCCCACTTCGGGGATATTTTCATTCAAATTGCTTTTCTGCATGAAAACTCCACTAAGTCAGAACAGTCTGAGAAAGTATGTAATTCACACACAGCTTTCATATAGGAATAAACAAACAATTTTACCTGCAACCACTGGAGATTTTCTGTCATCTAAAAGTTGAATGGCAGTACTAGCTGTCACCACATTGCTTTTGTTTGCTGTTTCTACAAGGTGTAAAAAAAAGTTATTCAGATCAGAACAAGTTGGCAGCATAAGCAAGTTCAGCTGTAGATTTTTAGTTTGAAAAAAATATCACGTATTTATATGAATGTAATGCTCAGGAAAAGTGCTGATCTGACATTCAATTACAACCTGTAATTATCCACAAAACAGGTACAACACAGGAAGACACGCATCAGATTTCCCCCCTCTGCCTGATTACAGGCTTGGTGAACTTGGTGAATATTCCAGAGAAGATTTCAGAAGACAAGTCTCATTTTAAAAAAACCCTCTCCTGAATCCAACTATGTATGTGGGATCTTCCCAGTGTTAGGAATATTTAAAATATGACAAAATTACAGACCTGTGCTAAATGGGATTGAATAGACAAAGCTGCCAGGTATCTGCTCAGCGGCTCTTCTGTACCAAAGCGGGAAATGATCAGCATTAAAAATATTCTCTTTGTCTTCAGCTGTCAGGAAGTCTCTTGAAACAGAAGAAAGAAAGAAAAATGCTGCTTTTTGTATACCACAAAAATATTTCAAGCTTTAAAGACAAAACAAAACAGCATCTAAGCCTTTAAAGAAAATGGACTTCTCTTTTGAGTTCTTTTTTATATCATTTTTTGCAGTAAAAGAGTTAACTAAATCACTGAATAATTCTTGATATACTTATTGTATCTACTCAGACAACAACTTGAGTAACCCAGCAATGTACAAGCTGAGAAGGGTGGGCAAGGGGTAAAAAACACAGCCAAAGAACTAGTACTATGGAAAATTGTACTATTCAGAAATTTCTTTCTAGCACCTTGTTGAAATAATATTTTACTTTTTAAACTAGCTGCATGTGATGGAAGAGGAGTTGTAATGAGTGAAGGCCACTGTTTCAAGCAATCCAAGCTCAAGTCTTGAATTAGGCCAACACAATTAATCCATTCCATCCCAGGAAGACATAGTGGGAGTGGTGAAAAATGAACTTGGCTACATTCTTCCTGAAAAAGGATGTCAGAGGAAGGTGCCTAAGGTGGAAGAGAGGGGTCTTATGAGCAAAAGTGCAACTATCTTCTCCATGCATTTTGCTTCCAGTATGCTGGATGAGGTCAAGAGCAGCATAAGCTGCAAGGCCACTGATTCCAGTTAACAAATCTCTCACTCAGCATTATTGTGTATTCAGATTAATACCATGCAGAAAATTCTTAATCATCATAAGTATTTAAGAAGGAGATTACCTTGCACAAGGCACATGCATACACTCTTAGCATTTGCAATACACACAGCCTCTTGCAATAGTTAGTGTACTAGAGGAATTTTGTTTTAGAGAACTCTCTTTCAAGAAACACATACTTTCAAAAGTAATAGAAATGTAGCCGTGTTAGTCTGGTGTAGCTGAAGCAAAATGCAGGACTATGTAGCACTTTAAAGACTAACAAGATGGTTTATTAGATGATGAGCTTTCGTGGGCCAGACCCACTTCCTCAGATCAAATAGTGGAAGAAAATAGTCACAACCATATATACCAAAGGATACAATTAAAAAAAAAAGTGAACACATATGAAAAGGACAAATCAAATTTCAGAATTCGTGGGCCAGACCCACTTCCTCAGATCAAATAGTGGAAGAAAATAGTCACAACCATATATACCAAAGGATACAATTTTAAAAAATGAACACATATGAAAAGGACAAATCACATTTCAGAACAGAAGGAGGATGAAGGGGGGGGGATTGGTCAAAGACTTTTAGAAACTCCAGACACTACTTGTTTCTCTTTCAACCATTGTTTTGACTGCACTCCCAAAGAATTCTTGTGCCTATAATTATCTTGTCCACTTAGGCATTCTAGGCTGAATGCTCAAAAGGAGTTAAGACATTTTGACACTGAGCATGACAGCACCTAACTTTTAGGGGAATGGGGAAAGATAGGCATTGTAGACTGAGATTTACAAAAGCCAGCATACAAGGCATGGAGCAGCTTAAGATAGCCATTGGTTGATACTGATGCCTCTCTGAAGGAGATAGGTGTCTAAATGCAGGCTGCAAAGAGATGTCTATCTCTGCCGATGATTCTTAAGTTAGGACCCCTCTTTGGAACTGGGCACCTTATCCTGGCTTATTTCTAAAATAGCATGACAACTTTGCTCATAGCTTTTAGACCAGAGGAGAGGACTCCTACCAAGAAGAGCTCTAGTCTGAGTCCCTTCTCTATCTTAGGGGGAGAAAGATCCCTGTTCAAATCCTATCATCTCTTGGAGGGCTGCTTTCACCACTAAGCTCTAGGACATTCTGGCTGAGGATTTCCTCAGTCACTCCCAGGGAGGCTGTTGCACTCTAGCTAAACAGGTCCTGAGTCTTCAACAGTCTGGGTGAGTGGTTTAAATTCCAGACTCAAGAATGTGTGTTCTTTTTCTCTGCACATGCTCAGGGACAGACACACAGATGCCTGAGGAATTTTTGCTGCAATACAAAACAAACCTTACACAGCGAGTGAAGGTGCCTGCAGATGTGATGGAGGGAGGAAAAAGGTTGTGCATCATAGTGGTGCTAAAAATGGGACTCTAGTGCCTAATTCTTTTTGAGCATTCAGTCCTATATATTTTATCCTTCTACCTAATTTTACAGTTACTGGACTGCAAATCCCATGATAAACCATTGTGTCTATTTTAAAGATGGGTACAACATTTTCTAAATTCCAGATCAACTATAGTAGCTGATTTCTAGCAATAGATTGCATATTTTTGTTAGCATCTAATTAACATCATTCTTGAATTCCTTCAAAACACTTAAATTAGAACTATTTCCAGTCTTGATGACTAGTTAGTATTTAATTTATCAATATATTCCAGCATATCTGCTTTCGATCCTCAATTTCAGACATCTTTCAATCTTTATTTCCTGAAAAGTATAGAATTTCTATTGCAACTCACAAACATGTGCCACAGTGGAAGACCTAAACCTTTGGGGAATTGCGCCTAAGGCTGCTTGATTTCATTTGCTTGATTTAATTCTGGGTAGCGTAAGTTGCACTTTACATTTATGGTAAAAATATATTTGAGTATCTATTGTTCAGGGGAAAATGGCATTGCTCTGCATTATTCAAAGATATTTTTCCCATCATTCTTCACAATTGCTTTAAAAAAGTGTCACATTTAAAACCATTTGTTTGCTTACCCATTACATTTGCACTTGAAAGGGAATCCTCTGAACTGTCATTCATGCTAAAATTCGACACTCTCCGGGGGGGATTGAACAAAGACCCCAACTACCTTACCCATTACCAAGATAGCTTCCCCAATTATCATCTCTAATACCATTAGCTCTCAGATATCTACCTTTCCCCACCTCTAATATCATTAACTCACAGACACTTACCTTCCTTCCCCCACCCCCTCCATCACCCTTCTGTTCTGAAATGTGATTTGTCCTTTTCATATGTGTTCATTTTTTTTAATTGTATCCTTTGATATATATGGTTGTGACTATTTTCTTCCACTATTTGATCTGAGGAAGTAGGTCTGGCCCACGAAAGCTCATCATCTAATAAACCATCTTGTTAGTCTTTAAAGTGCTACATAGTCCTGCATTAATTGTATCCTTTGGTATATATGGTTGTGACTATTTTCTTCCACTATTTGATCTGAGGAAGTAGGTCTGGCCCACGAAAGCTCATCATCTAATAAACCATCTTGTTAGTCTTTAAAGTGCTACATAGTCCTGCATTTTGCTTCATACTTTCAAAAATTCCTGTGTAACATTTTCTGGCACTGAAATCAGTATGTTCCACACATATTTGCACTTGCATATTGCAATTCCTTAAAAATAGGTCCTTAAAAATGGGTAAAGGTGTCCTCGGAAGGTAAAATGATTACCTTCTTTCTTAAACTGTTTCATAAGCAAACTAGTCAGTTTTTAATGTATTTTCACTGTTGTCTTTGCAGTTTAATGGTGACAAATATTTATTTAGAAGACAAGTATTTATTCCTACACAATGCTGAACACATTGCTCTGTTGTTCTTTTCAGAATTAGATTATATATTATTGGCTCTATTAAAAGAGTTGAGGTATTCATTGTGGATACTGCACAGAGCATAAAAATAGTTACACTATCTACATGATTTGCTAATATGATGGAATATATTGGAATAGGTAAAAATTAAGAACATTCTCCTGCTATTACTAAAGTCAATAGGAATTTTGCTATGGTCTTCAGCGGGAACAAGACTGAAAGCTAAGTAAATAAAAGTAAATGTCAAAGATACACCCTCAGGGTTTTTTTTTCTTTATTGGTCATTGTGGTTATTGTACAGTATTAGAATAGAAATATGTACACAGATAGCGGAAAATTTACTGCTACTAGATAATGCTGTGTGGTTTTACTTTATGAAATCTAAGCCTGAAAATATAAACTTCTGTCCCATGCTAAATCTCAAGTTACTGCATCTCTCTTTTTTCTCTCTCTCTTTCATGTAATGATGTGAATAGTACTAACATATTGTTTCAATGCCTTTGCACTTATCCCCAGATCTCAAAAAAGAATTAAGTGCTAACTCCTGCTTTGGGTACCCCAGTCCAAAATTTAGGTGACACTGATACTTGAAACTCTACTAAGCTACTGCCTAACCCTGAAGATGCTTAAAATCCCTGAGGATCTACATTTCCACTGTTTAATCCTTGAGGTGCCTCCATTTCTGCCTCTGGGCATGGGCACTGCTGCTCTAGTCCTGCCTAGTGTCTATCTTATGCCCAAGTTCCAGCAACAATCCTCAAACCAGGTCAAATTAAACACTGCCTCGCTTTGCTTGCCTGGAGGGCCCAATCCAGTAGTTATGCTCAGTATGCACCTAACTACACGCAAAACAGTCAGGAAGAGAAAGAGAACTCCTTTATAAGCATTAGCTCAATGGTTAGGGAATTCATCTAGGACATGGAAGACCTTGATAATGAGAAGGAATTTGACCATGGATTTCCCACCTCTCAGATCAGTGCTCTAACAACTGGACTCATTCATTCTCTGGTCCAGTGCAGAGAGAAGAGATTGAGAGAGACCTACACCGGAATATCTCCAAATCCAGTATGGTAAATATTATAGGAGAGGCTCCTGCCTTTCCTCTCCTCCTTTTCCTCTGTCACACCATTTTGGGAGCAATGAAGTTTGCTGTCACGGTTCTTACAATAAACAGCTTAGGGGCCTGACTCCAGGAAAGGGTTTATGGCTATGGATCCCAAGCAGAGAAAGTCACCTTCCTTCTGCCCAGATGTAACATCAAACACCCTAAGAAGGGTACAGCTTAAGACATACCCTTTTTCTTGGTACATGATATTGGCTATTTAAGGCAGCTCCCTCCCTATAGTGCCCGCTTTTGTAAATCCCATTCTTCGGTGCCTAACGCCCTCATTAATTAACCTGGGCCCCTTACTTACAGCCTATGCATTTCACTAGGTGACTAGGCACCTAAAAGTTAGGTGCTACAAGTCTCAGCATTGAATCAC